GTCACCTACAAACAAGCAAGATTTCTGGATCTCACAGACCTGTAACTTCTTCTTTAAGAGGCTCCTCTGTCCTCCACTCGTTACCTGTATTAATGGCACCTGTTTGAACTTGTTATCAGTATAAAAGACACCTGTCCACAACCTCAAACAGTCACACTCCAAACTCCACTATGGCCAAGACCAAAGAGCTGTCAAAGGACACCAGAAACAAAATTGTAGACCTGCACCAGGCTGGGAAGACTGAATCTGCAATAGGTAAGCAGCTTGGTTTGAAGAAATCAACTGTGGGAGCAATTATTAGGAAATGGAAGACATACAAGACCACTGATAATCTCCCTCGATCTGGGGCTCCACGCAAGATCTCACCCCGTGGGGTCAAAATGATCACAAGAACGGTGAGCAAAAATCCCAGAACCACACGGGGGGACTAACTTTTGTTTGGAGGACAAAGAATGCTGAGTAGCATCCTAAGAACACCATACCTACTGTGAAGCATGGGGGTGGAAACATCATGCTTTGGGGCTGTTTTTCTGCAAAGGGACCAGGACGACTGATCCGTGTAAAGGAAAGAATGAATGGGGCCATGTATCGTGAGATGTTGAGTGAAAACCTCCTTCCATCAGCAAGGGCATTGAAGATGAAACGTGGCTGGGTCTTTCAGCATGACAATGATCCCAAACACATTGCCCGGGCAACGAAGGAGTGGCTTCGTAAGAAGCATTTCAAGGTCCTGGAGTGGCCTAGCCAGTCTCCAGATCTCAACCCCATAGAAAATCTTTGGAGGGAGTTGAAAGTCCGTGTTGCCCAGCGACAGCCCTGAAACCTGAAGGATCTGGAGAAGGTCTTTATGGAGGAGTGGGCCAAAATCCCTGCTGCAGTGTGTGCAAACCTGGTGAAGACCTACAGGAAACTTATGATCTCTGTAATTGCAAACAAAGGTTTATGTACCAAATATTAAGTTCTGCTTTTCTGATGTATTAAATACTATTGTCATGCAATAAAATGCAAATTAATTACTTAGAAATCATACAATGTGATTTTCTGGATTTTTGTTTTAGATTCAGTCTCTCACAGTTGAAGTGTACCTATGATAAAAATTACAGACATCTACATGCTTTGTAAGTAGGAAAACCTGCAAAATCGGCAAGTGTATCAAATACTTGTTCTCCCCACTGTATGTGTATGTATGTATGTATGTATGTATGTATGTATGTATGTATGTATGTATGTATGTATGTATGTATGTATGTGTGTATGTATGTATGTATATATATTTGCAAGAAAAAAAACATATGGGGGATTGGAAGTGATGCAGACAATTACATTGATGGAAGTTACAATCTATCTGCAATATTAAAGCTGATCTAAACCCCCCTCCATCATTACTTGAAGACATGAAGGTCAGTCAATACGGAACATTTCAAGAACTTTGAACGTTTCTTCAAGCGCAGTCACAAAAAACATAAAGCGCTATGATGAAACTGCCTCTCATGAGGACGGCCACAGGAATGGAAGACCCAGAGTTACCTCTGCTGCAGAGGATAAGTTCATTAGAGTTACCAGCCTCAGAAATTGCAGCCCAAATAAATGCTTCACAGAGTTCAAGTAACAGACACATCTCAACATCAACTGTTCAGAGGAGACTGTGTGAATCAGGCCTTCGTGGTCGAATTGCTGCAAAGAAACCACTACTAAAGGACACCAATAATAAGAAGAGACTTGCTTGGGCCAAGAAACATGAGCAATGGACATTAGACCAGTGGAAATGTGTCCTTTGGTCTTGAGTCCAAATTTGAGATTTTTTGGTTCCAACCGCCATGTCTTTGTGAGATGCGGGGTGGGTGAACGGATGATCTCTGCATGTGTATTTCCCACCGGAAAGCATGGACGAGGAGGTGTTACGGGGTGCTTTGCAGGTGACACTGTCTGTGATTTATTTAGAATGCAAGGCACACTTAACGAGCATGGCTACAACAGCGTTCTGCAGCGATACGCCATTCCATCTGGTTTGGGCTTAATGGGACTATCATTTGTTTTTCAACAGTACAATGACCCAACACACCTCCAGGTTGTGTAAGGGCTAATTTACCAAGAAGGAGAGTGGTGGAGTGCTGCATCAGATGACCTGGCCTCCACAATCCCCCGACCTCAACCAAATTGAGATGGTTTGGGATGAGTCGGACCGCAGAGTGAAGGAAAAGCAGCCAGCCAACAAGTGCTCAGCATATGTGGGAACTCCTTCAAGACTGTTGGAAAAGCATTCCAGGTGAAGCTGGTTGAGAGAATGCCAAGAGTGTGCAAAGCTGTCATCAAGGCAAAGGGTGGCTACTTTGAAGAATCTCAAATATAAAATATATTTAGATTTTTTACACTGTTTTGGTTACTATATGATTCCATTTGTGTTATTTCATAGTTTTGATGTCTTCACTATTATTCTACAATGAAGAAAATGGTTAAAAAAATAAAAATAATAATGAATGAGTAGGTGTTCTAAAACTTTTGACTGGTAGTGTATGTGTGTATATTGTACAATCAATTGGTGAGAGACAGAGACTCAAATATCACACTCATTTGTACATATCCACTTTATACATAAACTGAGGCAAAGTTGGTTCATGTTTCAGTCACGTCTTTGGTCACGTTCGCGTGGGTAAAACAAAAACACCCTAATGATTGGTTGACAATAGAGCCTCCCACAATGCAGGTGATGGCTGCAGGATGAAGTTGGTGAAGAGCAACTGTAGAAACTTGCTGTCGAATAATTTCAAAACTTAATGACCTTTGATCACATGATTTTTGTAACGTTCATGAAGTCGACATGTAGGTGCAAGTTGGACTAGTTTAACCCCATAATGCAACACACTTTGAAAGGCAGTGACCAACGATGGTCATCGACTTGAACAAGTGTTACGTTGGTCACTGCCTTTCAAAGTGTGTTGCATTATGGGGTTAAACTAGTCCAACTTGCACCTACATGTCGACTTCATGAACGTTACAAAAATCATGTGATCAAAGGTCATTAAGTTTTGAAATCATTCGACAGCAAGTTTCTACAGTTGCTCTTCACCAACTTCATCCTGCAGCCATCACCTGCATTGTGGGAGGCTCTATTGTCAACCAATCATTAGGGTGTTTTTGTAGAACCAAGAAATTTGATCATATTACTCCAGTGCTAGCTTCCCTACACTGGCTTCCTGTTAAGGCAAGGGCTGATTTCAAGGTTTTACTGTTAACCTATAAAGCGTTACATGGGCTTGCTCCTACCTATCTTTCCGAGTTGGTCCTGCCGTACATACCAATACGTACGCTACGGTCACAAGACGCAGGCCTCCTAATTGTCCCTAGAATTTCTAAGCAAACAGCGGGAGGCAGGGCTTTCTCCTATAGATCTCCATTTTTATGGAACAGTCTGCCTACCCATGTGAGAGACGCAGACTCGGTCTCAACCTTTAAGTCTTTACTGAAGACTTATCTCTTCAGTAGGTCATATGATTGAGTGTAGTCTGGCCCAGGAGTGTGAAGGTGAACGGAAAGGCTGGAGCAACGAACAGCCCTTGCTGTCTCTGCCGGGCCGGTTCCCCTCTCCACTGGGGTTCTCTGCCTCTAACCCTGTTGCAGGGGCTGAGTCACTGGCTTGCTGGTGCTCTTTCATGCCGTCCCTGGGGGGGGTGCGTCACTTGAGTGGGTTGAGTTACTGACGTGATCTTCCTGTCTGGGTTGGCGCCCCCCCCCCCCTTGGTTTGTGCTGTGGTGGAGACCTCTGTGGGCTATACTCGGCCTTGTCTCAGGATTGTAAGTTGGTGGTTGGGGATATCCCTCTAGTGGTGCGGGGGCTGTGCTTTGGCGGAGTGGGTGGGGTTATATCCTTCCTGTTTGGCCCTGTCCGGGGGTTTCTTCGGATGGGGCCACAGTGTCTCCGGACCGCTCCTGTCTCAGCCTCCAGTATTTATGCTGCAGTAGTTTATGTGTCGGGGGGCTGGGGTTAGTTGGTTATACCTGGAGTACTTCTCCTGTCTTATCCAGTGTCCTGTGTGAATTTAAGTATGCTCTCTCTAATTCTCTCGTTCTCTCTTTCTCTCTGAGAACCTGAGCCCTAGGACCATACGTCAGGACTACCGGGCATGATGACACCTTGCTGTCCCCAGTCCGCCTGGCCTTGCTGCTATTCCAGTTTCAACTGTTCTGCCTGCGGCTACGAAACCCCTACCTGTCCCAGACCTGCTGTTTTCAACTCTAAATGATCGGCTATGAAAAGCCAACTGAGAGACCTGAGCCCTAGGACCATACGTCGGGACTACCGGCCGTGGTGACTCCTTGCTGTCCCCAGTCCGCCTGGCCTTGCTGCTATTCCAGTTTAAACTGTTCTGCCTGCGGTTATGGAACCCCTACCTGTCCCAGACCTGCTGTTTTAAACTCTAATGATCGGCTATGAAAAGCCAACTGAGATTTATTCCTGATTATTATTTGACCATGCTTGTCACTTATGAACATTTTTGAACATCTTGGCATGGTTCTGTTATAATCTCCACCCGGCACAGCCAGAAGAGGACTGGCCACCCCTCATAGCCTGGTTCCTCTCTAGGTTTCTTCCTAGGTTTTGCCTTTCTAGGGAGTTTTTCCTAGCCACCGTGCTTCTACACCTGCATTACTAGCTGTTTGGGGTTTTAGGCTGGGTTTCTGTACAGCACTTCGAGATATTAGCTGATGTAAGAAGGGCTATATAAAATAAAATTGATTGATTGATTGTTACGCTCGAACGCGCCCACTCTCCCCACTCAAGAAAGATACGTCAAGAGAAAAACGCAATGACATCATATCATGCGCCAACGCACGATTCTTAGGTGCAGAATTTCACGTGTTTCAAAATGTCTGCCTTCTGTGTTGTTGTCATGTGCTGAGTTGCTGATTTATTTTCGAGCACCAGTCGTTTTTTATATATTCTAACCACTTCAAAGCGTTGAACAAATTATAAAAAGTGAACGGTGCAGTTACTTATCGCAATGGCTCAAAGAAAGAAGAAACTGACGAAGAAAAAGAGACACATTGGCCACCGGGTGCCTGACGAATCGGATGGTGGAGACTTCGAAGTTGCTGCTAAAATTATGGACGATGATTCTGTAAGAACCATTTAATGTTTCTGTTATTGTAGCTAGGTAAACAATTTGCTCTAGTCATTTGAGCAAACTTATGTACATCTACCAGCTATGAATTTACTTAGCCAGTTGTAAACCCTTAGCTAGCTAACATGCTAAATAGGCAGCTAGCATTGGATGTCAACTTGTCTCGAGGACTTGGCTGGTGGTGTAAACGTTCCGATTTGCAACTAAAACGAGAGTTTCTATTGGACAAATTCAGGTAGGTCCCCCCCCCGTTTCGATCAGTTTGCTTCCGTTTAAAAAACGTTTTGCAACAGAGACCATCGGGGTTGTTACTAGTTACCACAGCCACAAAGTCAAAATAGGCTCTTTTAAATTCATGAAAACAACTCATATTCTTTGGTCATAATTTCAGTTTAGGCATAAGGTTAGCCGTGTGGTTTGGGTTAATGCTAGGGTTAGGTTTAAAATCAGATTTTATGAAGAGAAATTGTAGAAATAGGTGGGGCTTAGCCATTTGTGGCTGTGGTAACTAGTGACGACCCATAATCAAAGTAATGAATACGCCCCAGTTGTGGGGCTCTGAAATGTTAGGCCTAGAGTTGATTTATTGCCATTTACATTAGAAAATATTAAAGTTGTGCTAGATTTGGTTTTGAGTGGGATATGATTACGAGCTTATCAATCTCCATAATGACAATGTCATGTTATTTAATGTAATTAATTCAATGTGTTTTTCAGCCTGGCGGAAAGTTACCTCGGTTCCCTGGAGCTTCGTCAGAGTGCCTGTCTGATGTGGAACCTGACACCAGGGAGCTGGTCAGAGCTCAGAACAAGAAGAAAAAGAAGTCTGGGGGCTTCCAGTCCATGGGTAAGAAGTTGTGGTAGGCTTACCAGTAGGCCATGTTATACAGCAATATGTCCTGCGTATGTCCTAACTGCCATATTTTGGTAATTGTAGGTCTCAGTTACCCAGTTTTTAAAGGGGTCATGAAGAAGGGCTACAAAGTCCCTACTCCAATCCAGAGAAAGGTATGCCAATGCCCTTGGATCTTTACATTTCACGATATATCAGGTAGATTATTTACGAGACCTCTCTCTCCCCATTTCAGACTATCCCAGTGATTCTAGATGGCAAGGACATGGTTGCCATGGCAAGGACAGGCAGCGGGAAGACAGCTGCATTCTTGGTGCCCATGTTTGAGAAGCTGAAGGCCCCCCAGGCCCAGACAGGGGCCAGGGCTCTCATTCTGACCCCCACCAGAGAGTTGGCGCTGCAAACCATGAAGTTCACCAAAGAGGTCATTATTTTTATAGTCAATTTGTCATCCATCACTTTACAATATAATATACATATTTGTACGTAAACTAGGGTTGTCTGCTTCATGTTTTCATTTTTGCCTTGGAAAAAATATTGCCATACTGGTAATGTCACAGCCCTAACGTAAATGGGGTAATCTTTGTAATTTTTTAGGGATAGTATGTTTTGTTCATTGGCCAGTACAGAAAATAGTAACTATATTCCTTTTTATTGTGTTTCAGTTGGGGAAATTCACCGGCCTTAAGACTGCTTTGATCCTTGGTGGAGACCGGTATAATTAATTAAATCTTCAGTCTTGTTGTGTTAAATTGTTATTGTGTTTACAAGCATCAACTGAAACCTCTTGTTTATTTTCAGAATGGATGATCAGTTTGCTGCACTTCATGAGAACCCGGACATGTATGTACACAATGGTCTTCACAACTGCTGTATTTTGCTATAATGCAATTTTAAAATTTAATGAGGTTATAGGTTTTGTTCTGTGCTGTTGATTTTAGTTAAGTCTTCTGCCTACAGAATTATCGGTACCCCAGGTCGTCTGATGCATGTTGTCATGGAGATGAACCTGAAGCTACAGAGTGTGGAGTACGTTGTGTTTGATGAGGCTGACAGGCTGTTTGAGATGGGCTTTGCTGACCAGCTCCAGGAGATCATCCGGAGGCTTCCAGACAACAGACAGACACTGCTGTTCTCCGCCACCCTGCCCAAACTACTGGTGGAGTTTGCTAGAGCTGGTAAGCCCAGCCACAACATCCCTTCAATGGCATTATGAAGCCCACCCACAACCTATGCCTTCTTGTGCAGCCTTTTGATATTGAGTTGTGTACAAGGCAGGATGTGTAGTGCTCTGACAGTATTGTGTTTTGTGCAGGTTTGACGGAGCCAGTGCTGATTCGTCTGGACGTGGACAGCAAGCTGAGTGAGCTGCTGAAGGTTAAGCTAAAAGACTTGCTAAAACCCACATTCACACAATTTGAAGTTTGGTTACACTCAGTTGGAATCCCTTAGTGTTGAAATATGAAATATGTGCTTGATTCAATGATGTAATAGAAAAGTTGTAGCAAAACATTGCATTTTCTCCTCTCCCAGCTGTCGTTCTTCCACCTGAGGATGGATGATAAGCCGGCTCTGCTTCTCCACCTGCTGAGGAACGTGGCGAAGCCCCAGGAGCAGACAGTGGTCTTTGTTGCCACCAAACACCATGTGGAGTACCTCAAAGAGGTGAGACCCCTGTGAATAGAAGGAGAAACTAGTCATGGAATATGTTTTGGTTGTCCTCAGCCTTGTACCTTTTTAAACAAGTTTTGAATGTAACTCTCTGTCACCCTATGTTTAGCTGCTGTCCTCTGAGGGCGTGGAGTGTGCCTACATCTACAGTGCCCTGGATCAGACGGCCAGGAAGATCAACATTGGTAAATTTGTCCACCGCAAGGCCATGGTGCTGATTGTGACAGATGTGGCTGCTCGCGGTATAGACATCCCCCTGCTGGACAACGTCATCAACTACAACTTCCCCTCCAAAGCCAAGCTCTTCCTGCACAGAGTCGGTGGGTAACACAAACAACAGGGGGAGCATTATAACTAAATTATGCCCAACATACTGTTTTAGGTTATCTTGAATTGTCACTTATGTACGTGGGGCAGAAAGGCCAATGACAACCATCTGAATCAATGAAATATAGGGTCTTCCTCACCATTGACTGTTGGCTCATCTCTGGTTTTTCAACCCCAGGTCGAGTGGCACGTGCCGGCCGCGGTGGCGCTGCCTACAGCCTGGTGTGTACAGATGAGATACCTTTTGTCTATGACCTCCATCTCTTCCTGGGGAGACCCCTTCAGCTGGCTACGCCTGACCACCGACAAGGTACCAGCACTGGACATAAACATGTCATACACAGTTTGAGGGAATGGAGCCATTGCTCACCGCTGCAGTTGTCTTGTCACACTTGTTTTCTGTCATGGATACTCAATTCTCTTGCTCACTCTCATATATATTTCTGTCTCTGTCCGTTCCTCGTGCCTCTCACTCACTCTATCACTCTCTCTTTCTCCATCTCCTCTTAATTTCTATATTTTTCTCTCCCTCCCTCCAGAGTCGGACGGTGTGTTTGGTCGTGTACCCCAGAGCATCCTGGATGATGAGGAGTCCCAGCTGATTACGGCCCATGAGAACTCTCATGACCTGCAGAACCTGCGCCGCATAGCGGACAATGCCTACAAGCAGTACATCAAGTCCCGGCCCATGCCCTCGCCAGAGTCCTTTAAACGGGTCAAGAACACAGAGCTCCCCAGCCTGGCTGTCCACCCACTGTTAGGTCAGTAAAGGTGTCCACATGCTTCCCATCAGAAACCGTTCGGAACAGTTTGTGCGTATATTATAACATTTTGTGACGTTTTGGTTGTCGGCAAGGGTTTCTTCGGCTGTTCGTGTACACAAAAACATTTCTTAGGCAAGCCGAATTTCGGTACACAAGTCTACGCCCCTTAGTCAGTCATTGGTCAACAGTAGGGATTCCTCAATTATGTATTTGTTGTCATTCAATGATAGATGACTCGTTTTCGTGCAAAGTTTTTCACTTGAGAAATACTGCACCAAACATCTTAGTTAGATGTAAAATTCCGCGACTAAGATCTCGTCAAAAATGTCAGAATGAATAAACGTCAGAATTAATGACAGATTCTTGAGTTATCTTCGATTAATTCTGACTATTTTGAGGAAGTCTATACTGGTTACGGCATCTGAAGATTGACAAAGAGTACTGCTGCTGCTTTTTCTCGTTTTTCAAGCGGTCTTTTAAGGGAGTATTCGTGCACACTCGTTCTGCTAGGCGCCAGCCGAATCGAAGCATGCGGAAGCCTTTAGATCACTGACCTAATAACAGTACTTTTCCAGTGCACTTAAATTTGTGATATTAAATCAATGAAGTTTCTGTCTCAATGGATCCTCGTCAGATCTAGGGTTCTCTCATGAAAATCCCACGTAGATACTCCCTTACTCTTGCTATGATATTAACCCACATTGCTTTTGTCTATTTTCAGGGTCAGGCTTGGAGAAAATGGAACTGGAGCGCCTTCAAATGGTGGACTGCATTAAGGGCTACAAGGCTAGAGCTGTGAGTTTGGATTGGAAATGTATATGGGAAGCTATTCTCTATGAATAAATTACTAACCTGTATTAATGCTGTTTAAACCACCATGGCACTTTTTCTCCAGACAATCTTTGAGATCAACTCTAGCAGCAAGACCAACGCCAGCGTGGTGATGCGAGCCAAGCGTTCTAGGGACACACGGCTGGTGGATAATTTCACCCAGAAGAGGGTGGTTCTGGCTGCAGAGGGCAGGTATCACGTTCCTGTCACTGCTCTGCCCTCCACACACCACACGGCAGACCAGGAGGACAGTGAAGAGGAGGACCTTCAGGTTAGCACTTATACACTACTGAGTATCCATCTACATTATATAAAACCTAGCATGTATGTGTTCCATTTGCTAGTCAACAATGGTGTATAGCACCACCACAGACAAAGTAGTATCATATGACCAATTATGCTGTACTTCTGTCATTTCTCCACCAGGGTGTGTTCTCTGAGGTAGTGGGGGGGAAGAGGAGGAAGCCACAGGACGACGGCGAGGCGGAGAGGCCAGACAGTAAGAAGACCAAACAGACTGGCCGTGATGAGGAGAACTACATCCCCTACAGACCGAAGGACTTCAACTCTGAGAGAGGGTATGAGAAAGGCTGACTACACAGTCCACTCCGCTTTACACAAGACCAAAATAGTCATTCTGTGAGTGCGAATGTGGGATAAGGGTGATATAACTCAGTGTTTGTTTGCAGACTGAGCCTGGGAGCAGAAGGCACAACGTTTGAGCAGCAGGCTTCTACTGCTGTACTGGACCTGATGGGAGACGAAGGAGACAGACTCAACCAGCACAAACACATGATGAAGTGGTAAGAGAACACCATGACACACACACACACACACACCATGCGACCTCACTTGACATATCCATCATCTCTCTGCAGGGATCGCAAGAGAAAGCGCTTCGTCAAAGAAACAGGAAAGGAGGCAGACCAGAAGAAGAAGAAGAGAACAGAGAGCGGACAGATGATCAACAACAAGAACAAGAAGAACTTGTATCCTTTTTGTCATCTCAAACTGATCTTTACTGATGAAAGCTGTTAATAAGGAAATTCCAACACCCTCAGCTTATTGTGCATACTGGTAAGTCCTCACTTTTAATTGTACCACTGCAGTATTTTTAGGATGTTTTATCTCCTTGACCCCATTTCTCAGCTATGAAGAGTGGAAGAAGAAGTACAAGGTGGATGACGGAGGGGGTGGAGATTCAGATGGAGAGACCGGAGGTGGAGGCAGAGGAAGGAGGGGTGGAGGTAGGAGTGCACTTCATCAGAGGGCTCTAGCTAGAGTTTGGATCTGTTGTTTGTGATGGTCTGATGTGGGGTCTGTAAGTAAAGCAGACATTGACACATCCCTTTGGGACATTCTCCAAGCTCCAGTCTTTGGGCTCTACTACTACCTAAGATCTATTCCAAAACACTTAGTAAAAACGAGCATCAAGAGGTTTGATGTACTTTCAAAATGTCAATGTTTCTTGCAAAACAGCATGATAAAATAATGCTGAACAATTGAAATGCTGCCCTTCACTTCTCTAACCCTGTCTCCCTCCCCCTCTCTTCCAGGCCGAGGCAGGCCTGGCCGGGGCCGAGGTGGCCCATCCCGGGGCCCCAACTCCCAGCCCCTGGGTCCCCCAGGCCAGCAGAGGGGTGGTAGCGGTGGCTCTCGGGGCCCGCGCTCAGAGCTGAAGAGCCGTGACCAGATCCTAAAGCAGCGCAAGAAGACAGAGAAACAGAGGTTCCTGCAGAGTGGAGGCTTGAAGAAGCTCCGGGGCAAGGGCAAGCAGCGCCTCAACGACCAGAAGAAGTCTGGCTTCGGCCGTGGTGTACACAAGAAGGGCAAGATGAAGAAGAGACTGTGAGGGAGGGGGGGTGATGAATAGATGAGGTCTGTGGAAAAAGAGCTAGTGAGAGATGGAAGAATCGGCGAAGAGATGAGGCAATGGATGGAGAGGCTTTTTTTCATCCCAAGTTGGGGGGTTACGGAGGGTAAGATCCGTGTCCACATATTTTATGTGCCCCTAGCGTTGATGCGGCTGTGCATGACAGGGCTAGACCGATTGAAACCTGTATTTTACAGATCTGTTTGCATCATAACCTATCCAGATGGATCGCTATCTCAATATAATATTTGTTTATGTATGTGATTTGTGTTATCATCTGTGACTGTGTTATTCTTTATTATAAAGGCCTAGGAGGAACAGAAAAACCCATTACAGTAGGTCATACAAAGCTGCCCATTGAGCAGTGTGAAATTCATTCCTGTTTTTTCTGGGCAGTCGGAACAGATCGATGAGGTCAACCACATTGTACAAAGAATAACCTGCCAGTCTACCAGAAGGTGGCAGTAAAGCCTAGAGAGAGGTCTGCCAGAGGATCTCGGGTCACTACCAACATGTTTTCATTTCAGAGATCTGTATTCATTTGACCAAGCTGACAGCGGAGTAACCAGAGGGTGTTGAGAGATTTACTCCGGGCCAAGAGTGTGGTGGAGATGGAGGTTCACTAGAATAAGGAGAATTGGGGAACGTTTCTGTCAGCAAAGAGCCACAAAGCCAACCTCCCTACATTGCCTCCAGTCGCTAAAAGAAAGCTGTGTTCTATACACTTAACAGGACATGTTTGGGAAAGGGCTTTGTAGTAGGTTTTTCTCCTTTTTATGCAATTTTAATATACAACAAAAGTATTCATTTGGTAAATTAATACACTAAAACCTACATTAGATAAATACAATCAGTATGTTTTTTTGCAGATTTAGTTTTTCTTCCCTATCCAATTGTTTTTGTTAACTGTAGCCAACACTGAACTTTGCATTCAGCATAATTTCTGTACCATATTTTCAGGAAAAATATATATGTAGGCACGCCATAAGCCTAAAAACACAGGGTCAAAGATGGAGTGTGTTTTGAAGTCCTGCCGTTGTACAACAGATGAGCTGACGTGACTGGAGAGACACACTCCGTCTGAATGTGGTTAGATGCAAGTTGTTTGATGATATGTGTACATGCTATATCACAAGTGATCTATGGTCAAAGTTATCTTTAGGCCTGCTCTACTAGAATGAAGATTTGTGGCTTCCGTTTCTGTCTATGAATTTACTCAAGTTAAGTGAAGACTGCTGCTAGTTACAGTGCCTTCAGTAACTATTCACACCCCTTGACTTTTTCCGCATTTTGTGTTACAGCCTGAATTTAAATTTGATTAAATCGAGATTTTTATGTCACTGGCCTACACACAATACCCCATAATGTCAAAGTGGAATTATGTTTGTAAGGAAACTGCTCAGGGATTTCACCATGAGGCCAAAGAGACACTTGAAAACAGTTACTGAGTTTAATGGCTGTGATAGGAGAAAACAGGCTGGATCAACAACACTATAGTTACTCCACAATGCTAACCAAATTGACAAGAGGGAAAAGAAGGAAGCCTGTACAGAATACAAATATTCCCAAAACATGCATCCTGTTTGCAAAAAGACCCTAATATTAATATTTTCAAGCATAGTGGTGGCTGCCTCATGTTATGGGTATGTTTGTAATCCTTAAGGACTGGGGAGTTTTTCAGGATAAAAAAGAAACGTAATGGAGCTAAGCACAGGCAAAATCCTAGAGGAAAACCTGATTGAGTCTGCTTTCCACCAGACACTGGGAGATGAATTCACTTTTCAGCAGGTCAATAGCCTAAAACACAAGGCCAAATCTACACTGGAGTTGCTTACCAAGAAGACAATGAATGTCCCAGTTACATTTACATTTACGTCATTTAGCAGACGCTCTTATCCAGAGCGACTTACAGGAGCAATTAGGGTTAAGTGCCTTGCTTAAGGGCACATCGACAGATTTTTCACCTAGTCGGCTCGGGGATTAGAACCAGCGACCTTTCGGTTACTGGCACAACGCTCTTACCCACTAAACTACCTGCCGCCCCGAGTTACAGTTTTGACTTAAATCTACTTGAAAATCTATGACAATACCTGAAAATGGTTGTCTAGCAATAATAAATAATTAACAACCAATTTGACAGAAAATAAAAATATGCAAATATTGCACAATCCAGGTGTGGAAGTCTCTTAGAGACTTACCCAGAAAGACTCACAGCTGTAATCACTGCTAAAGGTGCTTCTACAAAGGATTGACTCAAGGGTGTGAACACTTATGTAAATGAGATACCTGTATTTCATTTTCAATAAATTTGCAAACATTTCTAAAAACATGTTTTCACTTTGTCATTATGGGGTTTCTGTGTGAATGAGTGAGAAATGTTTTATATTTAATCGATTTTGAATTCAGGCTTTAACACAATTTGGAATAAGTCAAGGGGTATGAATACTTTCTGAAGGCACTGTATTTAGAGGCAACATCATTTATCATCGCTGAGACATATGATGTGGGTACCTCTCAAAAACAAACACAGGCAGTTTGAGTAATATATAGTCATTTATAAACTGAGTGGTTCGAGCCCTGAATACTGATTGGCTGAAAGCCAAGGTATATCAGACCGTATACCACAGGTATGACAAAACATTTATTTGTACTGCTCGAATTAAGTTGGCAACCAATTTATAATAGCAATAAGGCACCTCAGGGGTTTGTGGTATATTGCCAATATACTACGGCTAAGGGCTGTGTCCAGGAACTCTGCGTTGCGTTGTGCGTAAGAACAGCCCTTAGCCATGGTATATTGGCCATATACCACACCCCCTCTGGGTTTATTGCTTAAATATAGCTTCAAATAAAGAGATGCTCTGCTTTTTTGACACCACACTCCACAAAGCAAGTCCTGCAGGCTCTAGTTTGATCTTATCTTGATTATTGTCCAGCCATATGGTCAAGTGCTGCATAGAAAGTCCTAGTTAAGCTGCAGCTGGCCCAGAATAGAGCGGCACGTCTTGCTCTTCATTGTAATCAGAGGGCTAATATTAATACTATGCATGCCAGTTTCTCTTGGCTGAGAGTTGAGGGAAGACTGACTGTGTCACTTCTTGTTTTTCTAAGAAACATGTTGGAAATTCCAAATGGTTTGCATAGTCAACTTACACACAGCACTGACACACACACTTACCCCACCAGACATGCCACCAGGGGTCTTTTCACAGTCTCCAAGTCCAGAACAAATTCAAGGAAACATACAGTATTATATAGAGCCACGAGTGCATGGAACTCCCTTCCATCTCATATAGCGCAAGTGAACAGCAAATCTGGTTTCAAAAAACAAATCAAGCAACACCTCACGGCACAATGCCTCTCCCCCATGTGACCTACTTGTTGTGTGTATGTACTGACATGTATGTGTAACTGATAGATGCACACACATGACATGTTCATGTTTTTAAATGTATGTAAATTGTAACGTTTATTTTTGGTCTGTAATGTATTTTTCGTTATGTGTCGGACCCCAGTAAGACTAGCTGTCACCATTGGCATCGGCTAATGTGGATACTAATTAATAAAATTAAAATAATTACAAATATCTATATATAGCTTCCAATTTTGGCCCCAAATGCTTTGTCATTTTTCCTTTTGTTGAGTAGGCTACACAACTCCAGACATTGACTACGTGTACTGTAAGTGCATTCTTGCAGGGCCAAAACTATCCCAGAGACCCAGTATCCTCCCTTTTTGATTGAATAGCACCCATAGTGTTGATATGATATAGCACTGTACTGGCTGCTCCAGAACTGGATGGGAACAGCAGGGAGAGAACAGTGTCTGTGATAGGAGTTAATCCCGTGGAGATACAGGCCAGCCTGGCTTCTCCTCAGCCTACCCGCTATCAGATGGCCCCTCCGTCCCCTCTCTAGGCCAGTCCATTGCAGCGCAGCAGCGGTTCTAGAGATGACTAAGAACGGCAGGCTTATCTGTGTTCCCGGCCATGACACAGCATCCACTTGAGATAGGCCAGAGACAGTGAAGCCTCAAGGCCCAGCAGGCTCATGTAACACCACAGGACCAAGGTACTATGGGCTGTGTACGTATGGAGATGATTGTAGTGGAGAATAACTGACCATACCACTCCCCACTAAACAGTCGGCGACTGTTACTGAGGAGGAGGTTTTGGTGGTTGTCTCGGCCAGGCCTGGCTTTGTTTACAAGGCTTTTTTAATTCTCTATAAGTCTGGTCAGAGAAGGAAAAGATATTAGTCGGCAACACACAGCTCTCTGTCTTTCTCATCAACACCATACAAATACTATATGTATATCATGTGGAACCTTTTTTTACATTCTCTGCCATTTTCAATTGACATAACAGCTGTTTATGTGTGTGTAAATATGCATACTTTTGAATGTATACTATTTTAGCCAGCCAAATGTCCTATAGCTCCATAGTCTGCAGACTGTCCTATGGGGGCTCCGAACATTGATAAGATGGCTGCTCTTTCTCAGGCAATCACTCACAAGGCAAAGGGCACTCCTGGAATGACAGGACAGACATGACTGACATTAGCACAGCAGTTGCCTCAGCAGTTTCAGTCTCCAACTTATGAAACTGCTGACAGCAACACATTACCCGTGGGTATTATCAGTGGACATTCCTATATATGTTTGCATATGGTTATATAGTATTCACTTGAGGGAGGATTTTGTGGAGTGAAACGTTTCAGTGTTTTCTTGGGTTGCTGTGGGGTTAGTTTGGTTGAACTTTGTGTTGTAATTAGGGTGGCTGTGTGTTAGAAATAGGAGTGTAGGAACACAGTTAGGCACAACCTTCTTCACAGGCCTTTAAAATTGTCTCCTAACCACAAGATACAACTCCATCCACTGTAGGACACTTTTAATGTATCCAGGAAGGCACAAAGAGAAGTCCTTGGTTCTGCCACAGAGAAGAGCAAATTTATTCATACAAAGTTGATTTTAGTCAATGATTATGTTGAACTCAAAATGATTGTTGGGCAAATTACATTATTACTATGTTATTATTATTTTATCCCAACATTCACCGTTGATTATCATATTTATTGGTACGAAGGCTATTGCTCTTTCTTTAGTGTCCACGGTCATACATTAAAACATGTCTGGAGTTACCAAGGGGTGGCATTGATGGGTAGTGGGAAACAAAAGCATCTTCCAAGAATTCCTCACTAATCCAGAAACTGTGGCTATTTTTCCCACCTCACCTCCCATAGATAATCTGTTATTTCTCCCTGAAGTCCCTAGTTCGCTGCCACCCCTGGTGTGCCTTACCAGGCTCTACTAATTAGGACCTCAGGACCCCCCTGTTTTTTTCAGATGTGGTAGACTGGTAAAGTACTGTCTGTCCACCTAAACACACCCAGTCCCACCCACTACACAGGAACGCCACACGCTACCGCAAAGCTGATTGGCTACTGTTGGAGCCAATGAGGTCCTAACTTCCAGACACTGACCGTGGTTTGGGAGGCTCTGTGAAGGGGTGGAGTGCATGCGCTGCAATGAGAGGAGCATTTACTTTTCATCTGATGGCTTTGCCAAGATTATCATTCTAACATGTCAACAACTACAGACCAAAAGGGTTGGTAACATCGCTACTTAACATGCTGATTACATTACAATATGAATATTCTGCTGTCTCATCTCCCCACGCCACTCCCTTTCCTTTGATGACAGACAGTATAATGTTTCCCATCCATCCTAATAACGCAGAATGGAATAAAACCCTTTGTCCAGGCACCACCATAACCACCTGTCAGTGACGTATGAGCAGTGGGCCGAGGCCATACTGTAGAAACGACTGCTTTATGATCTGCCTGAGTCTCTGTCCCCATGTAGTAAATCTCGATGCACTCTCTTATAGACAGGAAAAAGTATTTTCAGCAGAGCCGATTAGTTACACCATACTGCAGGAGAATGTGCTGCTGCCTCCTCTGGGCTCCCAAGTGGCGCAGTGGTTTAAGGCACTGCATCTCAGTGCTTGAGGCGTCACTACAGACCCCCTGGTTCAATTCCAGGCTGTATCACAACCGGCTGTGATTGGGAGTCCCATAGGGCGGTGCACAATTGGCCCAGCGTCGTCCGGGTTTGGCTGGTGTAGGCCGTCATTGTAAATAAGATTTTGTTCTTAACTGACTTGCCTAGTTAAATAAAGGTAACAAAAAAACAAAAAAATAGGGCCTGTGGTGGCTGGGCTGGAAGAAGGGAAGGCATGCTGGCAGGGAGCCATGCAGCATGGAGGTTATTTTGGGGGAGGCTCTGGGGCCCGATGAGAAAGCCCTTATAAAGACGTCCCTCTCAATGGGTGGAAAGTGGGTTATCATCCCACTGTCACTCTTCACAAGGCCATCTCGTTTGCATCTAGTCAACACCTTCCTCCCCTCTCCGGCAGAGCCGACCGTGGCTTCCTAAAACGACCATTTGACTTCCCAAGCACTCCTAACACATCGGATTCTACTCAAGTGCTTTGGGGAACAAACAAGGTTCCCCTTCCTCCCTCGCTCCCTCCACCTTCTTCCTCACGTGTTTTGATTTATTTATGAGAAATAAAGGGCCAAGTGTGTTTTGGCTTGGCCATATCATGGAGCAGCCAATAGGTTAATAATGGGATTCCAGTCTTTGGGGAGTCTTAATCAATGTTACAATTGAGATGTGCAAATCTATCTCCTGGTCGGACACATTCTGTGTGAGTTTGATTAGTTAGAATGTCAGCTCTCTGTTCTTTTGATTATGTGGCATGGAAGATGTAGTTATTTCTGTCATTACTTCAGGAAACTGTCACAGGGATAAAAGTGACTTCCTCCTCTTATTCATTTTCTATTATAGTGTATTTAATATCCTATGAAAAACAAAGGCCGTCAAACGTGTATGAATATTTACAGTTGATGTCAGGCAGCTCACTGCAGTTCTGCTCCCCTCCACCTTTGCAGCACAAATCATTTTCCAAAAAATATTCATTCAAGAAAAGTACACACACTGTAGGTACAAATATATGTTATCTATTTATATATACAATATAAATAATCTCAGTTTGATGCTACTTGAATCTGCAATATATACAAATATATATATTGTTACTATTTATTTATTTATTTTCCTTCCCCTTTCTTTCCTCCTTTCTCCTCTGAGGAATGTTTTCCCAGACTCTCTTTTTACCCTCTCTGAGCGTTCTGCCTCTCCGTGGTTAGGCACTTCATTTGTCTTCCCCAGGATCAGAGAGGCACTGGAAATCAAAATGATCACTGACTTCAGGTAGAAGTAGTGCAACAAAGACAGCAAGCCAAGATAACAAGGCATCCTGACTCACTGCAATAGAGCCCACTAGAAAAATCAAAGTCAAGACTTTAAAGATTTAGAGTAATTTATCAACTTTACTCTTTGTGGACAGCAAGTTTATATATATATATATATATTGTATCTTGTGGTTGCTAGAAATCAGCGTTGTTGAGGATGATTCTATAATGTGAACACTAAAAGAGTATGGTGGGATATATTTTCAACTGGTTTTATCTTGCAAGATATTTCTCATCATTAAACATTGACAATTAAAGTCAGACAAATCAAACAGAAACATTACTTAATATACCTTGATAAAAACATGTTCAAACATGTGTACCCACATCTCACACCTAGTCCTAACCCTAATGCTGTTAATAACTTATAATTAATTACAGTTATACAGTCATTATTAAACATTGGGATGTCCAGGGAACTCTGTGGTCTTGTGGGGTGCATGAATGTACGCTTCTCTTCCTGTTGCAAAGTGATTTGCTGCCTTTTAAGCTTACCATATGTTTCCCTGTCGAAACAGTTTGTGTATATATTATGATGCAATTTTGGCACGTTTTTGTTCGTTTTGGTGTTCAGCAGCATTTCGGCTGTTCGAGCACACACTTCGTCGGTGATTAGTCAACAGTAGGGATTCTTCAATGAGCGTCATTCAACGAGAGACGATTAGTTTTCATGCAAATGTTTTCACTTATACTGCACCAAACATCTTAGTTAGATGTCAAATTGCGCGACTAAGTTTCCTCTGCAAAACGTCAAAATTGATTACAGATTTCTTGATTTATCTCAGATTAATTCACACTATTTTGGGGAAGTGTATATTGGCTTTTTTCAAAAATTTCAACCAAAGGTCTTTTAAGGTAGTATGCGAGGCACAGACATTCGCTTCGCCTAGCCGAGTTCTGCTAGGAGCAAACCGAACCTAGCATGCAGACGCCTTTACATCTGGCCATGCTTTCACTGCAGCTTTGGACGGGTGGTGAACTGCAGTGTTCTTTGTCTCCATGGGGTGGCATTACAGTCATTGCCTCAGCTCCGCTTTCTCAAAGAAAGTTGAGTGCTGGTGACCTTTTTTCCTCGTGTCCTCGTTTTCAGATTCCGGATGTTTGTTAATGTGATGTCAGAGTGACAAGCTTTAGTGGAAAAGGTTTTTGAAATGTGCTATTCATCAGGGATTGGACCATGTCAACAACGTCTTTAACAATTGTGCACTGTGCTGCATTTCCAATAATCTTGTAGCAGGCCTGAATGGGTAGCAACCTGAGTGGGTAGCAACTGGCATGGGAAGAAAAATACCTTTTGTGTGAAGGAGGGGTATATCACCAGCAACACGTTGTAGCAGTTGAAGGAATAAAGCTTAGTTCCTGCAAGTGCCCTGACCCCATTCCCCATCTCCCTCTTGTCCCCTCTCCCACTCCTTCTCTCCCCTTCTCCCTAGACCCGGGTGGTACGCAGGCCCTGACCTGCTGCGTGGTGCCGAGGGGGCAAGGAGGGGGGATGGAAGGAGGGGTGAGGGGGCCGAGACCGCATGGGTGAGGGCAGAGACCCAGGACATGTTCTGGAAGTGTGTAGTGGACAGGGGCCAGACAGGACGTGACCCACCGGAGGAAGCCCACTGCCCTATAGGAGGAGGAGCCATCAATCAACACCCCTGGCCCCGCCCATGGCCCACCACTTCAAACACACAGAGGATTAGATCCAGGGAGAGCCTCAGCCAGGCAGAGATGTTACGCAGTGTGACTTGGTAACATTAATTTCCTATTTGGTCTTTATTTCATGAGGCAACTCCTGGTGATCTTGTTAATTATTATCTTTCTATGGTGACCTATGGGTCCAGCAATACAAGCATTCCAAGCATCCATTTATAGACGGTAAAGTCGAAAGCTACAAAAGACAGACATCCCCTTCAGCCTCCATTCATTTTATCCAGACAATAGTAAGGAGAGCATCTCACACCACATGTAATTTTTCTAGTTTGGATATCATAGAATGCTGAAGATGCTATTTCCATAGTTGCTTGAATGGTATATACATTCCTTGCTACTTTGAATCTGTTGTAATTCATCCATTAGTTTTTTGTCCTCATGCTTAATTGGAGAATGTGACCTATGCAGGGCAGCCACCTGTAATTGGCAGACATCTTGCTTATTTATTTCTCTTTTGAAGCCCATTGTAATTTAGCAGGGTGACTTCATGACTCCCACTTACTACATGGCCAGAGAAGATCAAAGGGGCAGACTAATTTCTCTTGGCTGTAGGGGTTCAGGGAGAGGAGGCAGGGCCCTGGACAAATGACCACAAGGTCAGGAGCTCAATTCCGGTGAGGGCAGAAGGTCTGGACTGGCCAGAGTCACCACTGTAGGGCTATCATGCAGCTGTGAGGGAATTTTGTTGTTATTGTATGATGATGATGATGATGATGATGATGGTGGTGATGATGAGGAATGATATGAGAACTGAGAAGGAGAGGAATTTATTGTCAAGAAATTGATATTTCACTATTGGATATTTTGACAGACGGACAGACGAACAGACAGAGTTTGGGGATATTTGGTTGGGTCGCTCTAGGTTTCTCAGCCCTTCATGGGAAAAAGGCTCAAGGTGCTAATTAACAGGGATGTCAGTGGTCCCTTGAAGTGAAGTGAGGCTGGAGATAAGCGGGCCGGTGGAAGAGGGAGACTGTCGGACTAAGAGGCCATCTGGACCTTGTTCTCCTTGAGTGGTGCTGGGGTTACGAATAGGGCTGGCTGGGATATGAATAGGGCTGGGGTACGAATAGGGCTGGGGTATGAATAGGGCTGGCTGGTGTATGAATAGGGTTGGCTTAGGTATGAATAGGGCTTGAGTACAAAGAGAACTGGGGTACAGTACGAATGGGGCTGGGGTATGAATAGGGTTAGGGTACAAATATGGCTGGGGTACAATGTGGGGTGTGGTACAGATGGGGTACGAATGGGATTGGATATATTGGTTAGTGTTCCTAGCATGAAATCCTACAATGCCAGTTTAGATTTAAAATCCCATTAAGATAAAACCCTGACTGTAATTTCAGATTGAAGTCTACATAAATGCATGATGCACAAATCAGGTCAGATATTCACAGCAGGTGTCCGCATAGCAAATAGAAGTCTGGTGAGATCTGCTCTCTGTTCAAACAGCTTGAAAAAATGTCCAGCCGAAACAACAAGAGACAAAGAGAGGAAGAGAGAGGGATTTTCTCTTTCCCTCCGTCTCTGTCACCTTGGCTACTGTCACTTAGGGGAGCCCAGTCTTTAGTGGCGTTGTTAAAGTGTCATCCTGTGACTCGGGAGGGCCCGCCTCGTCTCCTACAGGTAATCCTACATCATTCATTCATGAGGCAATGAGTGTGCAGTAAAGAGTCACTATCTCCCCTGCATGGCTCTGCCGACTGCCGGCAATACATTTTGCTACACGTTAGGAAACATGACAACCGCACTACCACTGAGCTCTCTCGCAGCTCTCTGAGCTCTCTGCTCTCCGACCCAGCCTTGCCTCTTGACATAATAGGCCAAGGCCAATCTCTTGCAGGGATGGTGTTTGAACCTATATTTCCATAAGAACATGCACTAATATATCCATCCAAAGGCTGCAATGCAGAGCACTGTCACGAAAGACATTGAAGCTCAATGTGGGTTGTATTCAGTACATTTATGCATTTATCACCATTCCAGCTATAGATTGATCAGCAGTAGTATATTTCTACTGTGAGTGAGTGAGTGAGTGTGTGTGTGTGTGGGGGGGGGGGGGGGGGGGGGGGGGGTTGTATGAGGTAGCAGGTATAGTCAGTGTTGTAATATCAGGATGGAATGATATCCAGAGCAGAGACATCAAACACCAGGAGCCAGTTGAGTTATGGACCATCGACCGCATGCAGCAAGAACAAAGAGAGCGATGGAGATGGAATTGGTGGAAGAAAGAAAGAGATAAACATTGAGACTGAAAACAAGGTTTGGGGTCTGCTGTGAGTTACCTACAGTACAGGCTCTGCGACTTATGGCAGGGAGGGCCCGGGAAAAGCTGCTCCCTTGAGGAGAGCAGTGGAGAGGAGAGAGGGATGTGTGGGGTACTGTGGGTCTGGATGATAGGAGACATTGACCAGGCTTCCCTAGCCGAGCTGCCAATCCATCCCCTCCTCCTCTCCGCTCCTCCCCTCCTACCTCTCTCCCCTCTTCCCCCTCTCCTGACAGGACCCAAACTCAGTGCTGGCCACATCAAAGACACAAATGCATCACAGATAACAATACTATTCATTTATCTATCTCTGAAGGGGAGGGGGATCAGCTCCATTTATTGCAATGACCCCAAAGTGCCAAACAAACACTACAGAGATACACACACATACACAGAAACAGACAGGCAGACAGATAGACAGTTACACAAACACACTCATATGCACACACACACACAAACACACACACACATGCTTTCCCAAGTTGTCGTCTGTGTCCTGTTCATGGTAAGCAGGTGCTATGTGCTGCTAGTCAGTTGCCCTACTCCCTCTCTGGTGCATGACAGCTCTGTATGGACAGTCTGTCTAGCGACTGATGAATAACGGGGCCTTCTCTGGTTATCTTCCCTTTGAGTTTCGCTGAGACACAGATGCATCTATCCATCTTCATCTGTCCTCTCTTTGAGTTTAGATTCAGTTGGACGCCAGATCATTTTTCAACACAGATGAAACATTTGAAAGGTACTTTTACTTTCAGGGAATTCACTGAAATAACTTTTTTTTATTCTATTGTTGAATAGGCTAGGTATGCTCAACAACAGAGATTGTATAACCACATCCCCCTCATTGTATACACAAATAAAACACAGTACAGTATCACTGCATTGAAAAAGCAACCAAAATATCCCTTGAGATGTGCCAGGTTGCTTTCTCAATGCGAGGATAAGGAGTTAATGTACATGATCCGTATTAATGCTAATGCACATGAGCTGTAGGATACTTGAATATGTACTTTAATAAAAAGCTTTTGACTGGAGGAGGGTCTGAGTGTGAACTCAGTGGATATGGGAGTCCTTTCACCACTCTAAGTGTCAAACAGGCCCTTTAAAACGGCTACACAGTGGCTAATTAATTTTTAAAAGCATTCAGATTTTATCCATCTGCTTGGATGGGTTCCTAGGTTTTAAGGCTTTTTTCTTGCTTTTGGGGTATTATATATATGTTTTTTCAACGGCATTTTGCTTACTGGGTACTTTCTTAATAAAAACGAAGGAATTCATAACAGACTTCTTCTTGCACAATGAATACAGGTTCACCGGACCCACTTATTGTATGGGATTCTTTTAAATGTGCCTTTCGAGGCCATTCAATTCAATTTTCATCCCAAAAACGGTATCGGTCAACGGAGAAAAGACTTACAACAGAAATAGAAAATCTAACATTACACATCAATGGTGTTGACAAATGTACTACAGAAGCACTGAATAATCTAGATACAAAACAAAAGGAGTTTGAGGAATTTATTCAGGAAAAATCGGGTTTCATTTATCTAAAAAACATAGCAAATTGGATGGACAATGGTGAAAAAAGTTTTTCCTAAACCTTCAATATAGAAACGCGACCAAAAATAACTTACAGAAAGTTACATAAGATGGAGAAATCTGTATCTCACCAAAGGAGATTCTGAATGAGAAGTAAAATGTTTTAAGCAAATGTTATCTTGTCAAGTTGTCAAATTCCTCCAACCTCACTTGAGGTCCTCTATAGCTCAACTGGTAGAGCACGGCGCTTGTAACGCCAAAGTAGTGGGTTCGATCCCCGGGACCACCCATACACAAACATTTATGCACGCATGACTGTAAGTCGCTTTGGATAAAAGCGTCTGCTAAATGGCATATTATTATTATTGATGATGAGTTTTGTGATATCCTTCTCCCAAAAAAATCATGTTAAACTATCTGTGACACAAAACAAGATCTTGTGAAGGCCTAATTGCACAGGACAAACTATGGTTGGCAATTGATTCCTTTCAGACAATCAAAACCCCTGGCTTCGATGGCATTCCAAAAGAGATATATCAAACGTTTTATGAACTACTGAAATAGCCATTACTAACATGTTTTAATTACTTGTACAGTGAGGGATAAAAGTATTTGATCCCCTGCTGATTTTGTACGTTTGCCCACTGACAAAGAAATAATCAGTCTATAATTTTAATGGTAGGTTTATTTGAACAGTGAGAGACAGAATAACAACAAAAAAATCCAGAAAAACACATGTAAAAAATGTTATAAATTGATTTGCATTTTTACGAGGGAAATAAGTATTTGACCCCCTCTCAATCAGAAAGATTTCTGGCTCCCGGGTGTCTTTTATACAGGTAACGAGCTGAGATTAGGAGCACACTCTTAAAGGGAGTGCTCCTAATCTCAGTTTGTTACCTGTATAAAAGTCACCTGTCCACAGAAGCAATCAATCAATCAGATTCCAAACTCTCCACCATGGCCAAGACCAAAGAGCTCTCCAAGGATGTCAGGGACAAGATTGTAGACCTACACAAGGCTGGAATGGGCTACAAGACCATCGCCAAGCAGCTTGGTGAGAAGGTGACAACAGTTGGTGCGATTATTCGCAAATGGAAGAAACACAAAATAACTGTCAATCTCCCTCGGCCTGGGGCTCCATGCAAGATCTCACCTCGTGGAGTTGAAATGATCATGAGAACGGTGAGGAATCAGCCCAGACTTACACGGGAGGATCTTGTCAATGATCTCAAGGCAGCTGGGACCATAGTCACCAAGAAAACAATTGGTAACACACTACACCGTGAAGGACTGAAATCATGCAGCACCCGCAAGGGCCCCCTGCTCAAGAAAGCACATATGCAGGGCTGTATGAAGTTTGCCAATGAACATCTGAATGATTCAGAGGAGAACTGGGTGAAAGTGTTGTGGTCAGATGAGAACAAAATCGAGCTCTTTGGCATCAACTATGTTTCCACCTCCATGCTTCACGGTTGGGATGGTGTTCTTGGGGTTGTACTCATCCTTCTTCTTCCTCCAAACACGGCGAGTGGAGTTTAGACCAAAAAGCTCTATTTTTGTCTCATCAGACCACATGACCTTTTCCCATTCCTCCTCTGGATCATCCAGATGGTCATTGGCAAACTTCAGATGGGCCTGGACATGCGCTGGCTTGAGCAGGGGGACCTTGCGTGCGCTGCAGGATTTTAATCCATGACGGCGTAGTGTGTTACTAATGGTTTTCTTTGAGACTGTGGTCCCAGCTCTCTTCAGGTCATTGACCAGGTCCTGCTGTGTAGTTCTGGGCTGATCCCTCACCTTCCTCATGATCATTGATGCCCCACGAGGTGAGATCTTGCATGGAGCCCCAGAACGAGGGTGATTGACCGTCATCTTGAACTTCTTCCATTTTCTAATAATTGCGCCAACAGTTGTTGCCGTCTCACCAAGCTGCTTGCCTATTGTCCTGTAGCCCATCCCAGCCTTGTGCAGGTCTACAATTTTATCCCTGATGTCCTTACACAGCTCTCTGGTCTTGGCCATTGTGGAGAGGTTGGAGTCTGTTTGATTGAGTGTGTGGACAGGTGTATTTTATACAGGTAACAAGTTCAAACAGGTGCAGTTAATACAGGTAATGAGTAGAGAACAGGAGTGCTTCTTAAAGAAAAACGAACAGGTCTGTTAGTCTGGATTTTTTTCCAATTTGGAGAATCTCTCATAAAATGGGTAAAAGTAATGTACAACAATCCTTTGTGTAAAATTATAAATAACGGTTACTTCTCTGAGAACTTTGAATTGTCAAGAGGATTACAACAAGGTTGCCCTCTGTAACCATACTTATTTATTATGGCCATTGAACTGTTGTCTATAAAAATCAGATCTAATGATAACATTAAGGGGCAAAACATTTATGGATTAGAGACAAAAGTAACCTATCAATGTACACCAATGATTCAAGTCCTCAATCTTCAACCTTGAAGGGCCTTATTGTGGACCTGCATAATTTCTCCAGTTTCTCTGGACTAAAACCCAACTATTATGAGTGTACTATATTACGGATTGGGTCTCTAAAAGACACAAACTTTAAATTGCCATGATGTCTCCCGAGTAAACGGGTGGGTGGTGAAGTTGATGTGCTTAGACATATCCCGGAAAAGTTTAGCGATCTTGCAACTATTAACTTTGATAGAAAACTTAGCAAAATAGAAAGAAACCGTGGAGAGGGAAACACCTGTCCATCTACTGGAAAATGACCCTGATAAATGTTCTAATGATATTGCAGTTTACATATTTATTCATGGCTCTACCGACTCCAGGAGAACCGTTTTTTTCAAATAATGCAAGAAAAATATATTTTATTTTATTTGGAATAGCAAACCAGACAAAGTTAAATGGGCATATTTATATAATCAACATGAGTTTGGAGGGTTACAACTATGACATACAGTGGGGAAAAAAAGTATTTAGTCAGCCACCAATTGTGCAAGTTCTCCCACTTAAAAAGATGAGAGAGGCCTGTAATTTTCATAATAGGTACACGTCAACTATGACAGACAAAATGAGATTTTTCTTCTCCAGAAAATCACATTGTAGGATTTTTTATGAATTTATTTGCAAATTATGGTGGAAAATAAGTATTTGGTCACCTACAAACAAGCAAGATTTATGGCTCTCACAGACCTGTAACTTCTTCTTTAAGAGGCTCCTCTGTCCTCCACTCGTTACCTGTATTAATGGCACCTGTTTGAACTTGTTATCAGTATAAAAGACACCTGTCCACAGCCTCAAACAGTCACACTCCAAACTCCACTATGGCCAAGACCAAAGAGCTGTCAAAGGACACCAGAAACAAAATTGTAGACCTGCACCAGGCTGGGAAGACTGAATCTGCAATAGGTAAGCAGCTTGGTTTGAAGAAATCAACTGTGGGAGCAATTATTAGGAAATGGAAGACATACAAGACCACTGATAATCTCCCTCGATCTGGGGCTCCACGCAAGATCTCACCCCGTGGGTTCAAAATGATCACAAGAACGGTGAGCAAAAATCCCAGAACCACACGGGGGTCCTAGTAAATGACCTGCAGAGAGCTGGGACCAAAGTAACAAAGCCTACCATCAGTAACACACTACGCCGCCAGGGACTCAAATCCTGCAGTGCCAGACGTGTCCCCCTGCTTAAGCCAGTACATGTCCAGGCCCGTCTGAAGTTTGCTAGAGTGCATTTGGATGATCCAGAAGAGGATTGGGAGAATGTGATATGGTCA